CCCACCCTCATTTCATTTCCTTAACCCCCACCTGACGAATTGTGCAACCCTATAATTAACACCTTATCCCTCTGCTCATCTTCACCCATCTGCTTCCACTTTCCCCCGCCCTTGAATCCTCACACTCATTCTACAATAATGGTTTTATACTATATTTTTCCTTGTGGGACCAAGTTAGTTCACTCATCATAATGCTCTCCAGTCCCTTCCAAGTTAGGTAGTAATTTACAAAATCATTCCTCCTGTACACTGTGTAGTATTTCATTTTGCGAATGCACCACAACTTCCCAATCCATTCGTTTATGGTTGGACATCTGGGCTATTTCTATGTTCCTGTGATGGATAATGCTGCTATGAACACTGGTGTACAAGTTTCCATTTGAGTCTCAGTTCTCATTTTCTTGGGGTATATTCCACATAATGGAATAGCTGGGTCATATGGAATTTCTATGTCCAGCTATTTGAAGAAGTGCCAAACTGCCTTCCAGATGCTTGTACCATTTTACAATACCACCAACAATGTATAAGAGTTCCTATCTCACCACATCCTCTCCAACATTTATTACTTGCTGTCCTGTTAAACTTACCACTGCTACTGGAGTGAGATGATATCTCATTGTGGTTTTGATTTGCATCTCACTTATTGCCAGTGATTGGAAGCATTTATTCATGTGCCTGTTGGAGATTTGAATATCTTCCTCCATGAACATTCTTTCCATGTCTTTTGCCCATTTTGTAATAGGATTATCAGTATTTTTCTTATAGAGGCCCAGTATTATTCTATAAACTTCCACTATGGGACTCTTGTCTGAGATGGTATTGCCAAATGTTTTTTCCCAGTTGGTAGGCTTTCTTTTCTTCACCCTGTTGGAAAAAGGTTTTGATGTGCACAGGGATTTAATCTTTAGAAGGTCCCATTCATCAACTTTATCCTCTTCAGAGTGTGCATTTCTGGCTGTATTTGGAAGTCTTTTTATACCATAGAATTGACCTTCTAAATTTGATCCTAGGTTGTCTCTTATGAACTTTATGGTGTTAGGCTTTACTCCCAGATCCCTGATCCAACTTGAAGTGATTTTTTTTTTAGTATGGTGTGAGATGTGGATCCTGTTTTAGCTTTCTGTTGGTAGCAGTTCAGTTTTGCCAGCACAATTTGTTGAAGAGGTGTCATTTCCCCATTTGATAGGTTTTATTTCCTTGTTGAATATCAGTTGACCATTGATAGCTGAGTCTATTTCTGAGTTCTCAATTCTGTTCTACTGGTCTATGTGCTCAAGACAGATAATGTTTGTTCTTCTGAGCCCATGATAGATTTAATATTCTTCATCAATACCATAATTAAAAGACATCAATTTTTTCAAGTTTTTAAGTCATTACCTAACTTTTACATACATACAGAGTTAAAAAAAAAATACCATGACTCTATTATTGGTCCTAAATAGAGAGAAGTGAGCATGATCAAGTATTTGTTAACATAGGCTTGGTTATCAGGGTGGATTTAGATCCCAGCTGATAACACAAAATGACAAACTAACTTTTAAAAAAGGATCTCTGACAACAAATGCTGGCAAGGTTGTAGAGAGACTGGAACCCTTATTCACTGCTGGTAGGAATATAAAATGATAAAGCCACTATGATTCCTTTTTTAATATCTGGCACTTTCTCCAAACGTTGGAAGTAGAAATACCACTTGACCCAGCAAATCTATTACTGGAATTAGATCTTAAGGAAACCAGAGACATGACTCAAACAGATGTATGTACACCCATGTTTACTGCTGCATTCTTCACAATAGTGAAGAGATGGAAGAAACCTAAGTGCCCATCAGCAAACAAATGGATAGAAAAACTATGGTACATTCATACATGGAATCTTAAAAAGCATTGGAAAAACAATGAACCCATAAAATATTACATGACATGGGGGAACCTGAAGGATAGCATGCTGAGTGAAATATCATATTCACAAAAGGACAAATACTGCATAACATCACAGTTAAGAAATAGGACAGACATGAGGGATTGGGAAGAGAATGGGAAAAGAATGACTAGATAATAAACACTGCAATAGAATAGATGAGAAGAACTGTCTGAAAGGAATATATATGACTAGACATATGTATGACAAAAATCTGAAATAAGAGGTGCATTGCAGGGTGAGTTGGGGAGGGGAGAGGGAAGGCGTAGAAGAAAATGTACAAACAGTGAATTAAAAAAAAAAGAATAGAATATTTTTTTAAAAAAGGAGAGGGAGTTCTGATGGCTTTATGCTAAGCAGTGGTGCTGCCAATCCAAAGGCATAAGCACTGGCAGAGAATGGTGAGTGGGTGGAGGAGGAGGCCAGAGAGCTGAATCTCGTTTTTAAGAGTTCATACAGAGATTTTTTTTTTCAATTGTCACCTCAGCCTGCACCTGCATTTTGAGAGAATTCTCTGATGATTTGTCTCAAACAAGTTACATTTCATATTTGATAAATGACCTGGAGAAAAAAAAATCTACTTCAATGTCTGTTGAAGGCTTGAGTTTTCAACCCAACGAATGTGTTGAAATAGAAAGTGTTTTCTTTAGAACCTTTCATTGTTTTACCCATGGAAGGAAGTCTTATGAAAAATGATTTACCTTCAAATGGGGCTTGGGACACTTAGTGAGTTTCCACAACCTCTCAAAAGGAAGGCAATAAAACAAAACAAGAAAGTAAGAAGGCAATGCTGCATTATCATGATATGAACATGAATATAGATATATATTATGTTTGAAAGCTGAGGTGATTTAGTGGTGAAGAGTTGTGCTGCCAATTGAAAGGCAGGTGGTTAGAATCCACCAGCTGTTTTATGGAGAGAAATGTGCAATTTCCTCCCATGTGATTTGCAGCCTCTGAAAAGGAGGCTAACTGGAGGGTTAGCTACAAATCAGTTCCATCCCAATAGTACATAACAACTACAACAACATATTATGTGCACTATAAACTAAAAAAATTAAATGTAGTAGAGTCAGAACTAACTCATAGCTACCTCTCCATTGGGTTTCTGAAGCTGTAAATCACATGCAATTAGATTGCTAATCTTACTCCCCAGGAGCCACGGGCAGATGGAAACCACCAGAAACGTATGTCCATTTGGTTAGCAACACAACTACTACTGATTAAGCTGTGAGAGCTCCCCAAATGTATAAAATATAAACAATATTTAAAATACTTGTTTGCCTCCATTTTGATAAAATGGATCATATAAACATACAAGAGATTTCCCTCTCAACTCCATGGTGGGTATTTAGCTTTATCTTCATTAATCTTTATAACATCACCCCTTTTTAGATATTACAATCCAGGTACAGAGAAGTTATGTCTCATCCCTAAGGTTACATAACCTGTACATCTAGCAGCCTACATAGATTTATTTCACGGGCTCCTTTATTCATAGAGATTAAGTGTACAGAATGTGTGGAGGGTCCTTAAAAAGAGCAATATGTAAGAGGCAACTAATTGGTATTGACTGGACAGGGATTTTTGAGAACTCTCCAAAACACAGGGCACAGAGATACCTGGGTAATATTTGATTAGTAGAGAGCTATAGCTTCTCATTTCCCCAAATGTGGACTCAGTATCACCTCATCTCCTACTGGTCTTTTGCCAATATTCTCATTAAACTGCAACTCCCATAAAAAGTCTTATAAATACATTACATCTTCAGAACAAAGATGTTTAGAGGTCACATGGTGACCTCTGTCATGAATGTTGGAGAGCAGCATCTTAAGGCAAATTGATCCGTGCCAGACCTGAGCAAAGTGATGTCGAAAGTAATTTAAGGATCGGGGCTCATTACTGGATCAGAAATACTTCAGGGGCCACTAATAGAATTCTCTATCCATCCTTCCTGTCTCATAATGAGTAACCCACTATTTAGTTTTCTGAAAGGAATAAGGTGTGACCCCTGTAGTTTTAATTTATCTTTCAAAAATAATTAATATTGGTGGGTTGGAGAATAGGTAAACTGCTGAGCAGTACATATGAGGCCAACCTTCTACCTTGGCTGTGTAAAATTAAAGTCACAGTTACCTCTCCTGCCTGTACAACCTGTAGCTTAGATAAAAGTCTTACCATTGTGTGCTGTCAAGTATGAGCCGTAGTGACTTTATGAACTCTTTCTATCCTGCACCATCTTCATCATCTCTGACATACTCAAGTTCATCACTATCACTATGTAACTCCATCTCTTTGAGGTTCTTTCTCTCTTTCATTGACCCTCCAGCTTTCCCAGAATAATATCCTTTTCCAAGGAATACCCTCTTCTAGCAATAT